GTGGGCCCTGATAATGGGATTAGTGCCCTTAGAGGAAGACAAAGACACTGCAGAGCTTCTCTCTGCTGTGGGAGGACACAGCAAGCCAGCAAGGGGGCTCTCACCAGAACCCGCCCATGCCGGCACCTGGATCACGGACCTCCAGCCTCCAGAGCTGTGAGAAATAACGTCCGTTGCGTACCCACCCAGTCTGTGGTATCGTGCTGTAGCAGCCTGAGGTGACTAAGACACACCCTGATGTGTTCACAGAGCTACGCGTAATTCAGCAGGGATGGTTCCTCACCTTCTGAGGGCTCAAGTCTCCCAGAAGGCACACATGGTAGCTCTGGATGAAGCAATCCGACACCTTAACAGGGAAGACTTCAGCCATCAAAAACCCGACTCTGAAGACCAGCTTGCTCACAACCCCACTTTCTCCCCTACACTGGACTATGGGTCAGGCCACATTTAAAGATAAGTCAGCTTCTACAATCTCCACTTTCTCAGCCTTGAATAACACCAGCACTCAGTTTTACACCAATATGATGATTTTTTGAATTAAAAGCAAAGCCACAGCAGCACATCCTGTATTGGCCACTAGATGGAGCTATGCATTGCACCAAAAGGATATGAGAGGCTAAACTGATTTCCTCCAAATGTTCTGCAGATAGAATCACTGACTTTCACAGCTGGTGGTGGCAAGTCACACAAGCCCAAGGTCCTGAGACGGCAGGCCTGAAAGACAGACCACTCGCAAAACATCTATTAAATTCCTACTTATGTTAGTCTCTGGCATTGAGAAAAATAATGGGCCCCCTCTGCCTTCTTGGTGCTCCATGTTTGGCGGAGAAGACAGACACACACACAGTGCATGACATTTCCTGAGCACCCCAGATTCTGCCAGGTGCTCTTCAAGTTCTATCTCTAATTCCTAAATGTTAAAAACGGGTTCCAGTTTATTTGGCAGGGCCAGGATGAAATCTCAAATCTGCTTGCCTCTTAAGACTGTACTCTTTCCTCAACGCCACCCAGTCTCTCTCAAATGCTTCCCATGCAAAGAGAAAGGTTCTCACCTAACCTAGGTGTGAACCAAGGCCACCAGAAACACACAAGACAGAGCTAACTCTGACTGAGGGAGTCCAGGAGGGCATCACAGAGGAGGTTTTTTCTTTTTTTTAAAGGATCAGTCAGATGGGCTAGAGCGGAAAGAAATTCCAGGGAGAAAGCAGCATGTCCTCTGGCACTGAGCTTTGCAAATGCAGGAAACAGCCTTTGGTAACAAATGGCAGCCAGCCCAAGGCAGTGGGGAGTGTGGGGTGGGTGAGGAGGGAGGTGGCCAGGGAGAAGGCAGGGAGGGCAGCTGAGGGAAAGACCATAAACAGCCTCCCTTGTTCAGTTAAAAAGTTGAGATCAGTTCCCACAGGCAATGGGAAGCCATCAAAGGCTCCTGGAGAAATTTCTGATGTTAAATTTAAATAGTTCTTTTTTTTCACCCGGAAGGGGAGGTAGAGTCATACTTTGGAACATTATACAATTCAGTGCCTCCTTTGAAAAGAAAAATAAAAATCTTTCCAAACATATGGACGCTAAGTCTTTCCCTTTAATTTTAGTCTATACCATATGGCACTCTGAATTTTTAGAAGATGAATAGACCGATTGACTTCACAGATCAAAACTTAGTCAGAGACGTCTTCTTCTGTTACTTTAATTTCTTTTCCACTAACTACAGCTGAAGCCCAATTTATCAATCTAATAAAATGAAGTGGTGAGGTCAGGCAATTTCTTGTAAAGTACTTAGACATGCCTGGCACATACTAAATGCAATAGAAGGGTTTAATAAATACACATACACAGAGACCAAAGGCGTGTGCCATTAGTTTCTTAGTTAAACTCCACGGAAATCAAGTGATGTCAGTCCCCGCTTAGGGAGAACTGAATAATACACACAGGTGCCTGTGCGCTCAGATCCAGTGGAGACAATGAACTGGAGACATCAAAAGACAGCTGCTCTACCAAGATGAGGTACAGCGTTATTTTTTAAATAAAGGTCATACGTCTTCAGAAACTAGAAATTTACTTCCCTATCAGCCTGGCTAAATAAACTCGCTGTAAAGTTTTACAAGAACTTTCCTCAAACAGCCTCCATACTGATTTATATATTCCTCATACATCAAGGCTGTTTCCACTAAGCCAAGCAAACATCTGGATGAAAACAGCCATCATTTCATTGTTTCCAAGCGCCTGGATCTTTGAGATTGATAAGACATCCAGACCCTGTCTGAAACTGTGTGTCTTTATCAGATATCTGCCATCAATCAGACACAGCCTCAAAGAGAAATCTCACGGTAGAAGGTTAAAAACCCAATTAACTGTAGTGCTTCAAGGCTTTGGGAAGTTGAATGATGTGCTTAATGTCACGAGCTCACGAGGGACAGAGCAGGACTGAAGCTCGTCTGCTGTCGTTTTCCCACTACACCAGTTGCCTCAGGATTTTGACTTACTGGGCAGCTTCTGAGGCACAGACTAAATGACTAGTCCTTCCGTGTCTACAACCTTGTCATGTTTAGAACAGGAAAAAGAACTGAGTACAAAGGACATTAAATGGCGTGTCCTGAACTCTGCATGTAAAGCCGAACCGATAACCTGGCCTCAAAGCAGAAACTCGAGTGCATCTCCAACAGAGGGCAGTCATGTTTGAACAGCACTGTAGAACATCACAACCAGAAGGAGCACTGAATGCCATCTGGGCTGCCTCTCTTCATTGTGCAGGTAAATGTCTACATTAAAAGGAATTGGGAGGGGAGTGGGTTGGAAATAGAACAGAGTTCTCCGATTTCAACAACTGGGTGGTTTGCTTACATTTTCTGCACTTTTATCTACACTTGCTCTAAGCGCTATCCCACTTGCTAAAAATGTAAGCTTCCCAAAGCAGAAGTGAAATGTAAACATTTGTACTTTTTTTTTTAGCAGGGGTAAAGGCTCTGGTTTAAATAGCTGAAGAAACTAAGCATTTCCCCGCTAAGGTTCAGTTTAGGGTGTTTCAATGTCTCCACCTTGAGGAAACTGTCAGTACTACATCAACATAAATACATCTTCACGTACTGATCGAAAGATTGACCTGAAAAGAAAATGAACTCTTTCTTACAGGATACAAAAGTCTCAAAATAATTCCAAAATATTTTGGTAGTATATTACAGTAGGAAATGATAATGGTAACCTTGAGGCCAGGCTGAATACCAAAGGTCTTCTAAATAATAATAGAAGATTAAATTACACGCAACTTTAGTAATAGGTATTTGTTACTACTCCCACGCTTATGTAAAACTGGAGACACAAAATGATGCTCTCACTTAATTGGATCATTTGAATTATCAGGCCAGTCACTTTCCTAGCCATCCGGAGAGCAGGAACTTGTCATATTATAAGGGTTTGGTGGCTCCTGTCTTCCAAGATTTCACTATGGGATGGTTCTAAAAGTCACAGGCAGGAAGCCAAGGCAACTCTCTGTAAGATTTTAATTAATTAAAAGAACACTTCCAGTCAGACAGATAGAAATAAGCAAAAGCAAATCAATTTTGAAATAAAGGCAAGTAGTTGTGCTATTTCATCACAGCCCTACAATGTCGGGCAAGACGGGGCAGCACAGTGGTTAAAGCGAGACAGCTCAGAAGCCACTAGCCCTGGGCTCTGCCTCTTAACCACTTAACTTGGGCAAGTTATTTAGCCTTCCTGAACCTCAGTTTACTCGCCCATAAGATGGGGATGATGTCACCTTCCTCAAAGGACTATTGTGAGGGTGGGACAGCTAATATATATATAGAAAGCGTCCAGCACAGTGCTTGGCACATAGTGGGAGAAGGAGCTATTATTACAATTATGAAAATACTGACTCACCCACGAGGTGCTTGCTCATGAAAATGAGTGGCATGGCCATTCTGCCTGATTTTTATGATCTGTAATTTTGCCTGCTAGAATGTCAGAGAAGAAAAGGATCTTGGAGAACTTCTGGGCAACCCAGATTAAGAGTGATGAAGAAGTAAGTCACAGGCAAGTGGAGTCAACAGATGCACATTCAGTTTACATGGTGACCTGGAAGTGGGGCAGAAAAAGAAGCCAAGCCTCTGGCCACACGCGGTCACAGGCCGGCTCGGACACCAGCTCATCATTCCCCTTGACTTCACCTGCTACAGAGAGGTTGGGCTTGTTCCTTCACTCCTTGAGCTACATGCTCGTTAATTCAGCAATGTCTATAAGCTCTTCCACAGACAACGCATTGGGGATTCAGTGGTGACCAAGCCAGATGCTGTCCCTGCTTCACAGCACTTGTTGTTGCAAGGAGGAGTGAGCAGGGAGACAGATCAAAACCCATCTTCAGGATAATTTGAAACAGTGATAAGCTTTCAAAAAGAGCATAAGACAGGGTGATGGAGAAGACTAGGCCTGGGGCAGGCTACAAAAATGACTTCAAGTTGAAGGAGCAAGGAGGACCTCTCCAAAGAGATGCCTGCTGAGCAGCCAGAAGGAACCGGGGAAATAGATCTGGTCAACAGAATCCAGACAGAGAAACAGTGCAAAGGCCCTGAGGCAGGAAAGAGCTTGATGAGACTGAGAAACAGAACAAACAGCTGCAGCAGCAGAAGCAAGGAGGGTGGAAGATGATGAGATCTAAGAGGCAGATAAAGGCCAGATCCTGTAGGGCCAGGCAGCCTAAGTGCAAGGCACATTTAAAGGACTGACACAATATGGTTGGTTGCCCAGTGTCACTCTGGCTGCTGGTGGAGCCTTGCTGGAACTGCCCAGCAAGTTACTGCCAAGCCTGACTGCCACCCAGGTTTTGTAATTCACCCCAGAAGGCTTCCCTCCACACACACATGCGCGGAGGTGGACATAAGGGGAGGAAGGCGGTTCGCTCTCCTCCAGAGAATGTGAATCAGCCCTGCAGAAGAGGCAGCAGGTGCCACGCCTCCCCCCACCCACCCCACGCCCCGCTCTGGGAATAGAGGGAAGACCCAGGAACTCACCCACTCGTGATGTCGTCTGCCCGGATGTTCTTGCTCAGAACGTCCCCATCGCTCATGTAGCCAGGGGCGTCCATGCCGAGGCCTTCCAGGTCCATCTCGTCTCCTGCTTTGTCCGAGACGTCCACGTGGCAGACGCCACTGCCCCTGGAGGCCAGCTGCCTCCGCAGGGGGGCGGAGTACACATAGCGGCCCGACTCAGCGTTGATGAAGCGGCTGGCGTTGGCGCGGGGCGGGTACCCGTTGCCCATGGAGGGGGCGTCTCCCGCCTGGAGCCGAGGGCTGGACTGGCCGAGCCTCCAGGAGAGAGGGGTGGGCCTGCCCGTCAGGCTGAGAATACTGCGCCCGCTTATCTCTGTGGTGACGTTGGTGTCAAACGTGGTTTCCAATGTGCTAAAAACACAAAACCAGCCTTGGGTTGGACCCCAATGTGCCTGGGAGCCTTTGCAGTTCTTTAATTTTTGTTCAGAATGATGAAGTATTTCCCATATACAAAATAGGAACAAATAATAGGGACCAACACACCACCCAGTGCCAGTCCTTCGTTAAGATGAAGCTGCCATCTACGTGACATTTGCAAAAGCCCAGTGGAGACTTTTCCCCTAAAACATGCTACAAGATACCCATTTCCAATTACTTCAAGTACATGATCTTAACCACCCAGGACAGGAAGCAGAAAATGCTGGACTGGTGAGGATGGGCAGCCGCCGCCCCCTGGTCCAAGGAAGCTGCGTCTCAGCTCTCCTTTCCTAAGGCAGATGCGCACGTCCACTCCGGAGATTCTAAGATCATTTCACATCTTCAGCTCCCTCTGGACAAAGCAGGGAGGGAGGGCCCGGATTTTCCAACTCTGTAATATCCATTTTCCCCCGACTTCTGTGCAAAATGACAACTACCTTTCGGGGGCAAAAGGCCAGGAAAGAGTGGTAAATGCCTAGGCTCGAGATCTGGGATCCGTAATAAATCAAACTAGCTGGGTCTGAATCTCAGGAGACTGAGATGTTCCTGGCCGTCAAGAAGCCTCTGTTGCCATCAGTCCCCTGTCTTTCTAGCCTTGCAGGTCTCATGGCACCATCGACAACCAGTGCGCTCAGAACTGCGCTAGCATCTAGTAACTGAGCCGAGAGAGCGCTCTTTCCCATAGGAGAAAAAGCCTGGAAGCTCTCCCTCCTGTCGTGATTACCATCCTAGCCCAAGCCAAGAGGTCCACCAAGCTGTTGTAACCCACAGCAAGTCATCATGGCAAGGATGGTGGAAACAGTGGTATTTCAAACTCAATCACAGAGTCACGGTTCCAGCACCTGGCTCCACGCCATCGAGAATCTGCGGACTTATTCATGCCCCCTGGACAATTTACTCTCCTCTAAAGAAGAACCACTGTTTTTGTTTCCCTCCAAACCTGGAAGCAGTGGGCCTGACTTTCCTCACATTAGGAACCCCTAAGGTTCGGGTCCTGGTCTTTAAGAACTCACAGTGCTTAACCCTGATCTGTCAAAGCTGCTGGCAGGGAGGAAGCCCTGCAGTCTCCTTGCTGTATTCATTTATCAAAGACTGAATGAAACTGGAGAAGCAAAGGAGACCCTCCTTCCACCCAGGAGCTCACTGGGGGCAGCTGGGCCTGTACTGATGATCAAGGCCAAATGCAAACCGTGAGACCTGGTTCTGCCAAAACCAAGGGTGTCCCGGCGCTGCATCCTCTTCACCCTCTGGCTCAACAATGAAAAGAAGCTGATAAATGGTTCCAGTGTAATCCTAGATTTCATCCAACGAAATCACGGTTTAAACACGATCCTACGTTTTTATAAATATTTCCGTACGTGTCTTATACACGTGCATGACTAACAACATTACGGAGTGCTGTGGGTCAGAAGACAGGGTAGGAATTCAAGTTATTCACTTTATCACACAGGTCAAATACAGTTCACCTGCTCGTTTCAACAGCACAGTATCGTTTTGGAAAACGCAAGCAAGGGGAAATTTAAACGCAGCTGGCCTGCAATGTCCTCTGTGGAACAGACTGGGCAAACCTCTGCTTTGAGGAGGGTTCTGTCTCTACTGGTTTTTGTTCCTGACACTTCTGCACGCCGCGCGGCATTCTTGGGTGAATTCTAACATATCTGGCGATCACGGTTATTTATTCCGTTATTAACCAAATCACTTTGCTAGCGGCAGGTGCAGCCATGTGAAAATCAAGTTACTAGCGAGCTCAGGACGGCGATTCGCGCTCCAGGTACCTGTGTGTGACCTGAGTGCCCCGTAGGCTGGACATGGTCTCCTCCAGGTTCTGCCGCAGATCAGCAATGTTCTTCACTGTGCGCAGTCGCCGAGCCTCCGGATCTTCCCCTGGAGAGATGAGGGTGGAGAAGACTTTAACTCTCAGAGAGATGGTGAGATTCATGGGAACAGCAATCATGCCTGTGACCATAACTGTGCTCCCTGCTCAGGGCCTGGCTCACTGCGGTTGCTCAAGACACAACAGATAATGAATGCATGCATGCATGCATGGATGCCCAGAGAACGCATTAAATCTCAAGAGAGAAGTCCTTCTTCTCCCTGCGGGCCCCTCCAGCAATAGGTGAGGTCCAGCCCATGGGAGAAGCAACGCACCGAGTCTGAGACATTACAAACACTGCCTCCCATAAAGACACACTCGCGTTAGGTGTGACCAGTGCCGGGGAATCATCTTCCACCTGTGCAGGAGTGGGGGAGGCACTGTTTTCTTACCCAGGGGTGGTATGTGCTGCTACCCACTGGCCTCCAGTTACACATAGTTAACTTGTTGTGGCTTAAAGATCTGTCCTTATTAATCACAAGTATTTCTATGGAGAAAGGTTTGCCTCTTTCTTTGTTCAATTTGTTGCGTACGCCATCTCAAATTCTGGCTCCTCTCCTCCGTGGCTGAGTGATCACCCTCTCCATCCTTCAGATTCCACAGCCCTAAAGGAGGACAGTCACAGTGCCGACCTCAAGGGGCGCCTGGAGGGACTAAACGGAGCCCCGAGGGCAGCGCCCGCCACCAGCACTCAACTCGCGCCAGCTGGTGCTGCAGAGCGGGGCGCATTCGAGAAGACTCGGGCTCTCTGGGGGACACAGGACTTCCATTCTCCGAGCAACATTTCCCACTAAACACCTGGACCAGGGAGGTCAAGCTGGCACGGAAGTCGCTACACACAAGCCAGGGAGTCGTGTGTCCTCTCGGAGCGGCCCCACGCCCGGCTGTGTGGAGACACTGCTTTTTCTGGGCTTTCCGGGGGAAGAGGCAGAGTGAAACGCCTACAGCTGCGATGAAAGGACTCACGCCTCTTCCCTGAGAGTGACTTCAGGAAGGCTGAGAAGACCACAGTCAAGGGTCTTTAGAAGTTGATGGCTATTCTAAGTGCTAAGCAATACTGTTAAACAAATCTCCATAGAGGACTTAGCACACTCGGGCAGCAGCAGGTGGAATTTACAGCAGACACCAAGTAGGACTTCCACAATGGTCATTCATAGGGCAACAGGCCCCTGAAAAATGTCATGGAAGCAACTTTCCTTCTGAGACAGATGGCCGTTTCCTCAGGTTATCCTCAGGGTGGTGGGGCCTGGAGGCTGGGGGATGGGTTCAATGATTGATTATCTGGAGGAAATTTGCTATAGCAAGCTCTCTATCCTTGAAAACGCCTGTGTTTTCAATTTGCTCCCTCCTAACCAAGAGAAATTTGGAAGGCATTTTTCTCTTATCTGAAAAATGGTCAAACCTGCCTTTCTCACCCAATTCTTTAAAATACATATATGTATGTACGTGTTCTTAAACGAACACAGAGATAAATGTCTACTTTACCTTCCTCTCGTGGCCTTGGAGGAATGTAACTGCATCTATCTCCTGAGCCATCAATTAAATATCTCTTACTGCCAGCTTGGCCACACTTTATCTGTGTAAAGGCTGCCAAAAAAGTACTGATCCTCTGGATAGCTCTAGGCCCTAGTTTTCAAATTACCCTCATTAATTAACTTAATCACACACAAAAGTGTAGTAACTATATTTATAGGCATACCTTGTCTTACTGTGCTGTCTCTTTATTGCACTTCGCAGATACTGCGATTTTTACAAACTGAAGGCTTGTGGCGACCATGCGTCGAACAAGTCTATTGGTGCCATTTTTCCAACAGCATTTGCTAACTGTGTCTCTGTGTCACATTTTGGTAATTTTCACACTATTTCAAACCCTTCACCGGCAAAAAGATTATGACTCACTGCAGGCTCAGATGATGCTTAGCATTTGTAAGCAATAACGTAGTTTTTAATTAAGGTATGTACATTATTTGTTTAGACATAATGCTATTGCATATTAATAGACTGCAGTATGGTGTAAACAACTTTTTTAAAAACTTTTTTTTGGTGTAAACAACTTTTACATGCACTGGAAAACCAAAAAAAAAAAAATCTGTGTGACTTGCTTTATTGCAGTGGTCTGGAAGCAAATCTGCAATATCTCCATGTCTCTACTAATTACCCATGTATCTGCTAATGACATATTTGCCTGTGTTAACTCTCCTTTAGAAATTCAAAGCTCCTCCATATGGGATGGAATCTTCCCTTTTATTTTTGGTAACCCCTATACAAGTCTATAGATGGTCAAGAAATATTTGTTGTCCAAAAGATGTCTGGTTCATGCAGCCCTGAAGAAAAGGCATAGATTTTGCATTCTGATGAATCAAGGTTTGAATAGCAGCATTGCCACCCACTAGCCACTTGACCTTGGACAAATCACTTATCTTCTTCGAATGTTATCTCTAAAATGGGGATAGAAACCCTTCTCTCAAGTTTAGGAGGGGCAGATGACACGTGATACATCTGGCACAAAATGAAGGCTTGTTGAATCTGACTGTCCTGTTTCCCTCTGAGGGGTCCCACTGGGAAACATCTGCCCCCCGCCCAGCATATACCAGATTCTAAGAGAAACACAGAAGCACAAAACAGTAATCCACCTGCCTTCCTTAGGTGATCACGTTTTGAATTGCTAGATCTGCCTGCTTAGAAGATGGCTTTGATGTAAGATTTTCCTACCAACTCATAGCCTGAATAAAATAAAAATGCAACCATGCCCCGGTGGAAATGGCTGGGCCCTTTTGGCCCATAGACAGAGATCTTAAAATACCGAGTGAGCTATTCCACGTCTCTCCGTGCCCGACCTGCATCTGCCAAGGGCAGTCCTCCCTCAAACCACTGGCCACAATGGCGAGAACCACATTCTGACCAAACAGAGCAGAGTGTGAGGATGTCAGGGTGTCACGTAAGGAACACGGGCAGAATCTGGGACTTTTACTTGGAAGAGGGAGGCTAGGGGCATGCCGCTACATGGAAAAGAACAGAAATGGTCTGCTGAGCTTCAGGAGGCTGGGTTATATCCAGTGATTTAGAAGTGTCAGAATAAAGAACTCCATTACCAGTTAAAGCCAACAAAATATGGGAGGACTCCCTTATGAAGGAATAATCTTTCCGTCATGAGAAATACTCAAGCAGAGACTGAAAGACGATTCACCAGTGAATGACAGAAGGGATTCACGGACCGGATAATACGCAGATGTGGTTCCTTCTAACACTACAATCCAAGGTGCATGTCTCACCTGTAACGCTATGTAAGTGACACAGCACCATGGGGAAATTCACCTACTTGCATAAGTAAGGGGAAAGACGCAGCAATTGATCAAACAGTCTCATAAATGTCCACTTCTAAATATAGCCACTTACTGTCATTTCAAGGGATCGGCTGTAGGTAAGTTTCAAAGGATCATGCTATATGTAGCATCCCCATAAAATTATTCGCGTGGTACAGCCCACATGTGAGTTCCACCACTTGAATGTAAAGGCAAGCTATCCTGGTTAAGAAATTTTCCTTAGCAACCAACACCCTTTGACTTAACACCAACACGTGCTATGCTTTATTCGGCGTGACTGGCTGCACAGTCCTGGTCCCCAAACCAGCTGACAGCATCTCTGGCTTCCTGAGCTCTTACTTGGTTTTACTGTCCTGATGCCGAGGAGACACGGGGAGAAAAGGGGTGAGAGGATCCCAGGCTGTCGTCTGTCACTCTGAAATCGAAGTGCCATGTGGTGTGTTCTCTGGCTGCCACTTTTGCTTTTCACGTTGTGAATTTCACTGAGCCCCCACGTCTGACATAATCCACACTCCTCCCCGGGACACACATCTGATGCACCGGCCTGGCTCTTTTGATGTGTGCACATAAGAACACGGTCTGGAATGTGTGTAGAGACCTGAGGAGTCATCTAAACTCCACACCCTTCTCCTGAGAGCTGGCCCTTTTCCTGCCCTCCCATGTCCTCACTGGCAAGGGAGCTAAAACCTGGGAGAGAAATAAACATAAAATCAATGCCAAATGTGCAGCCCTGAGCCACAGTAAGATGGATCACTTACTTACAAGTGGCTTAAAACCTCTCTGGCCCATCTCTGTGCCCAGCTGGCAGAACCAGAAGGAAACAGTTAAATCGCTCAAATCCTCTGAAATTAATACTCAAAGCTAATGGTCAAACGAGTAGGGGTCCATCATATGGGCTGCAGACCAATTCCACAGCTGTAATGTGGCTATGAAAATAGAGGGGCCATGGATATTTAGTCTAATAATGGATTTCAAACATGGATTTGATTTTTACCCCAACTCTGGGAGTGCTAAGATGTGTAAAGAACAACACAGTCACTGCTAAATGTGTGGGTCACGACTCACCTCCCCGATGAGACCTTGCCAAGACACAAGGCTCAGAGCTGGGGAATGGGGACCAAGGACAGAGATGGTGGCAGGTCAGGATGCACGGCAGTAGAAATTCTAATTCAGATGCTAAAAAGTTAGCATCTTCTTTAAGAATGTGATATACTTCAATTTAAAAAAATAAAATAAAAGGACACCAGGACATTCTGGAAGGGGAGGAGAAGCAGAAGAGGGAGCCAGCCAGAGAAGAAGGCAGGAGGAAACCCTCGGTGCCAAGTATCTAAAGGCTCCGGCCTCGAGTGCACAGACGCGAGCAGGGTGAATTTCTAAACACAGCAGCCAAGCAGGCCTCGCTCTGTCCACGGCGCTGTCTGCACGTGCAGCTGTGAGGCGGAGTGACAAGTAGCAGGCCTGGTGGTCAGGGACCTGCCACCTTTGGCACTTCTATTTCTGTTTCCTTAAGGACTTTTACATCTATTGCCCACAATTGCTGTGGTCACTTTACTAGCGATCATACTGCACTAATGTGTAATGATAAATGGGGAAGGAAGGAGGGAAGGAAGGAAAGAAGGAAGGAAGGAAGAAAGGAAGGAAGGAAGGCAAGAAGGAACAAACGAACGAACAGTATAACACAAATAAACATTTGTGGAATTAAATACATGACAGGTGCAGATTTTATGTTTTTGTATAATATAATGAATGCCCCTTTAATCACCTTTGTCTCAGGTTATAGTTAAAATAAAATTTTGATATTTTTGTTTTTGGTAAAAGCAGCATGCTGAAATCCTTCCAATTAGTGGAGGGTGCTCAGAACAATTTTCAATCAGTGCTTACACAAAGGGAAGAGAAAAAAAGTCAATTCATTTCAGAGCTCCCACGCTTTTTGGAAGGCCACTTCATCTGAAGAGTAACCAAGGAGGTTCAAAGTGAAGTACCCGAGCAGCCCAGAGCCCCTACATGAGCGAAGCAGGGTTATACTAAAATAAGATTTGCCAACAGGTAAAAGACTGACAATTCTGGGGAGGAGGGAGTAGACCATGAGAGAGAGAGAGGAGGGAAAGAAGACAGCAACACAGAAAATAAATTTGTTAGTCTCATCCATCAAGGCAACAGTGAAGCAACTTCACATCCAGCTGGGTTCAGGCCCCTCCAGCAGGTGGTTGCACGGGAGGCCTCATCACCAAGAGACATGGCATTTCCGGGGTGCCATACTCACCAGTGAGCTCCTCCAGGGCAGGCTGTCCACTCTTGGTGTAGTGGCTGGGCTCCACGGTCACACCCCCTGAGCTGGACTCGGCAGTGACATTCCCTTCGGTGTCTGTCTGGGACCTTCACACACAAATCAGAGCAGACAAATTTGTCACAAGCGGTGACCACCACATCTGAACCACTGGAGTCCGATCCCAGCCCCCACATCACCTCCTTCAGCAAGAAGCTTTAAAACAGAGCAGACTGACACTAAATAATTCATTAGCGCATGTGGAGCAACGTCCTAGAAACAGAGAGAGCTACCGACCTGGAAAAGATGAAATATTCCTCACCCAAATGGAGGGTCTGCAATCCTTCACTGGCGACTGCGTCCCTGCATCCCCATCGGGGCGCCAGGTCTAGCCAGAAAAATGCTGCAGAGACCAGGTGGCTTGGATCACTTAACCAAAGAGCGACTTCTAAGGAACCAGCAACGCCAGCAAGCCAAGCGATGACGCCACTGACATGAAGATGACTCCCCACGGGCCCCTAGATCCTCCTGACACAGCCGTCTCTGGAAAGCTGACTGTACAACCAGTCAGGAGTGGGTGCCAAGCAGGTGTGTTTGCCCTCTAGGTCTGATTCAGAGCTCAGGTCTTCTGAGATGCAAGGTCTCATTGATCTTTCTTTCAACACATGACTGAAATCTCTACTTCCCCACACTTTCTCTCCACGCCCTTATTTGTCTAGCAAATCAAGGCAAGTGCTTCGTGCCATGTGCTCTTACCACAATTACCTCTGCTTTTTCAGGGGGTCATGCAAATGTCTAATTACACTCAGACACATAACCCTGGGTATAACGTTATTAATTCATTAGCATCCTGAGCTAATTCAACCAGATTTAATGCTCTGTGAAGAAAATGCTTTCCATTTTATGAAATGTCTATAACAGACTAGGGCGGAGGCACTGATGACCCCCACATCGTTCACCCATCCTCCCTGCCTCTGCCTTCCTCCTGGTTCCATCGGTTCCCCGTTCCTGTCATCTCTACCTCTACAGGACTGTCATACTCCCTGGGCTCCTCTCCATCCCTTGAGCAGACTCCAGGCTCTCACCATCTCTGCTGAGGCCCTAGAAGCACTCTGGGAACAGGTGTGCTGCCTCTAGCCTAGAGGTTGCAAATGACAGCCAGGTATAGAAACCGGCCCATGGGTTTATTCTTATTGGTCTGTATGGTATTTCTAAAGCTCTTTAATTCATTTCCACATTAAAAACTTGGGAGATTTTCACAGGAAATCTGGATTTCTGCCTTCTCCCGGGAAAAACAAGTCTGGAAGGACTGAGCTCACATTCATGCAGGGTGGCACCTGCTGGTGACAAGTAGTGGCTGCTCCCTCTAGAGAGGCGTGGAGTGCCCTGTACCACTGTCCCACTCACCTGGAACCACGCATGTGGATGGCCTTTGTGGGCCCAAGTAGGCATCCGAACCACAACCTCTGTTCTGGACTGTTCCTAGGCCTGGTCCACTCCCCACTCCCTCCTCCACTGACCTCCGTGATACTGATGTGATCCTGCCACCCACTGGTTAAAGGCCTCTGATGGTTTCCCGCTGCCCGTGGGATAAGGTCTCAAGTTCTTTTTATGGTAGAAAATGCCCTACATTGTGGGATTCTCCCTTCCTTCACTTTCAGCCCCATCTCCCACCACTCCTGCCCTTTGCACACAGCCCTGCCCTGTGCCCCACCCACATATGGTTTCTCTCAGATCATACCCTGCCCTTAACAGTTTTGTCTTTGAAGTCATCATGACCTCTGCCTCAAGGTGCTTTTCCTCTTTCTTCCTTAGTTTGCTCCTAATCTGCCTTTAAGGCACAGTCCCCACGTCATCCTGGCCTTGAAGTCTTCCTGACTCTGCCATCAGACAGCTCCATGTTCTGCACGTATCTGCAGCACATTCCTTATTCTCTGGATGCCTACTTATTACAACATGAGCTAATTAATAGACTAAGAGCTCTCTGACAGCAAAGCTTGGCTCTTTTGAAGTGTGCACATGAGAACGTAAGTGCACAGACACTTGAGCAGGGTGTGCTGAGTGAACACGTGAGAAGTTTTTAAGTCTAGAAAGAGGCTAGAGGGTACTGGAAGGAGCAGCAGACTTTGGGGCAGAACACTGAGCTGGCTGCAGTCTGGGGTCTCTAACTCGATAGCCACACACATCTGGGTAAGTCACTGCACCTCTCTGAATGTCTGAGCCCTCATCTGGACATCAGCGGGTAACAACAGCGACCTCCCCTGGCTGCTACAAAAATTACAGGTGATACAACACAAAAGCACTTAAGTGTAAAGCAATGGAGGTGTCCAGTGTGACTTCTGAATTGATAACTATAATTCATTACCAGTAATTCTGAAAAGTGATTTATCTTCCTTTTATCCCTTGGTAACATCACTAACATGGAGAGGTTCTGGAGGGAACACTGTAAGTTACACACAGTGAGCTGTAAACTTGAGGGAGAATCTTAGAGCATAAGAGGAGTCTAAACCATTTTCCAAAATCCTCTAATTTAGCCCCATCTTCTCACTTTACAGGTGAGGCTAAGAGAGAGGCAGTGATTTGGAGTCAAGACTGCTTTGTGGTTAAGCACCTGGTCCCTCGAGGTGGACAGAGTTGGCTTTAAACACTAGCTCTTCCAGCTATCAGCTCACTGACTCAGAGCAAGTTGTTTAATGATGCTAAGGCTCAGTTTGCTCGTCTGTAGAATGGGGATGAAAAAGGTACCAACTCATGGAGTTGTGAGAATGATCAAACCAGCTGGGGCAGGCCAAGCCCATGGCTGGGTCCCTATACACACTTGGCGCATCTTCAACAGCTGTCCCTACAGCCAGGTCCCAAGGCCACAGAGGGACTCAAATGCTAATAAAAGGCAGAGTCCAGGCGTCCCGATTCCTACCCTAGTGCTCTTCTTTCCAGCTTGCTCCCTGGCATCTCAGGGGAGCCAGAAGGACATCACATGGGGTCGGTATTAATGCTAAAATACAGCTTGACAGACAACTTGATGTTTTCTCCTTCTTCCTCTTTGTGGGACATTTGTGTTTTATCATTAAGAGTTTTTCCTATTATAGAAAATCTTGAAATTAAAAAAAATAGAGGTTAAACGTTTTAGAATTTTTCAAATGATTACAGCCAAAAAAAAAAAAGGTGGGGGGAGTGGGACTGATGGTGATCAGGCTGTCACATATTTTAATTTCGAAAATGCAAATCAAGAATCTGGGAAGAGCAGCTTAAATATGCATTACCTCAAGGCTCTTAATATGACTAATGACAAAAATGTCACAGGGAGCAATTCAGCGGCCTCCATGGTTCAGAGAACAACTGTATACAAAGCTGAGCATGGGGACAAGCGCTGAGTCGTTAGCTGAGCCTTGGCACCCTTCTCAGGACTGTGAGCTGAGCTGATAGCTTGACTTAATAAAAAGATGACCGTCTTGCACTTAAAGAGGCCTGGCGGGGCCCACGCTGAAGGGGAGGGTGAACAGAGAAGAGGAAAAGCTTCTCAGAAGCCTGGCAGTCCCTCACTGGCTGGACACGGCTGGCTGGACTCTGAAATCACTCGTTTGGACCAGTCGTTCTACCAGTTCTTGGCAGAAAAGAAACAGAGCCAACTAGCACATAACTCAGGCAGGGAGAGGGGGAAGACCTAATTCTCTGGGAAACCACAACAGAGGAAAATGAACGTGTGGGTATGAGTCTGTGTGCGTGTGTTTACACGCCTGAACACGTGCATCTGCAGGTTCTGTATGAATGTGCACGTGTGTCCTTACTTACGTGTGACTGTTCACGACGTACATCCACCCTGACGGGTGTACGAGTGTGTGTGGACAGGTGTGCATGTGTATACACTTAGGGTAGAAGCTATAAAACAGGAGCCTAGATTGTGACGTTGAATCATAGGCCCCCTTTACCTGTGGAGAGGTATTAGTTACCATTCAGCAGGGCAGTGTGGCCGCTGCCCTGAACAAGGCCCTGGAAACCCGTAAGAGCAGGGTGGGGGGGCTTCCATCTGCCCGGAGAGGATTCATCACACATATTAAGCATCACCAGGAGCCAGCGTCCACCATCCAGGATGAGTGTGTGGTGCTGGTGGGGCCAGGAACACCTAGAGCCAGCAGTACCTGGCTCCACGAGGTCTCCCCTGGTTCTAGGGACATGCCATCTGAGACAGAGAGACTGAGGGACCAATGACAGACAGGAGGGAGTCATATGCCAACACCCAGGCTTGTCTCCCCAAATACAACTTGAGTTCTTTTGTTCTTCTAGAGTAGTTCCTGCTCACCACTGTCCTGTCCTCCTCTCAAAAAATCCCAGCAACACAGGAGGGCCTGAAAAAAAACACTTAGTATGTGTGATGGGGTAAGAAACTGTGAGGATCTGGAATTTCAAGATAAGCACCTCTGTGAGAAGAAGCCTCACTCAGCATGATGGTTTTTCGTTTTGCATTTTTTTAAAAGGATGCTTTAGGACCAATGTGGGAACCTGTGGGGGATACCAAACCACCCTCCTCGGTGCTGCTCATGCTGCTGCTGCTCCGGCAACGCCCCTGGCTCCCCACGTGCCGGTCCACTCCTCCTCATCCCGGATCAACCAACGCACGTTTGACTCCCGCCCTTTAGCTTTCTGCACCCCTACCCTGCAGTGCTGAGTAATGGTCCCTCAAACACACCGTATGCCTCTCTTAGGAGCTTCTCACACGGCACCTGAGCTGTGTGCCTCCATGTCCCTGGAAGGCCGTCCCGATTCCAGCCCTCAAAGACCCAGAATCCACCAGAAAGGCTCTTCTACCCACAGGCCCAGGCTGGGCAGGCGGGCAGCCACTCCTACCTGTACAGGAAAGGCGCCACCGTGGCAGTGTTGGGGTGGCTGTATTGCTGCTGGGGCTGAGGTAGCTGGACACTGACAGTATTGCTTCCTGTGGTCTGGGTGGTCCCGACAGACCCACTGACAGTCTGGCTGCTGATGCTGTGGTTCAGGGTGGTCCCTCCTGGGCCTTTCCCTTCTGAGGATGCAAGGCTGGAGGAGGAACTGGAGTGTCGGCCATCTAGCTGGGGCTTCTGCTGGGGGAGCCCTGAGCTTGGCTTCCCACCCCGGCTCCGCTCCCCCTCCTTGGCAGGCGTGGGGGCACTTGGGGACTTCCCGGGCATGCTCTTCATCCCTGGTTTTGGTATTCCACTGTGGGAAGGGGCCGCGGCCTCCTTCTTGGCACTGTTGAGCTTCCCCCCTTTGGGGATGAAGCTGGCGATCTTGGAGGACTTTTTTGGCATCTCGGTCACCGCCGGCCCGCTGGGCTCTTCTCTCGTCCCCTCCTTGAGGTCCAGCCTCTCCGTCACCGAGGCTCTCTTGGCAAGGTCCTTGCTTTTCTCCTTTTCCTTCTCTCGCTGTTGTTTCTCCTTTTCTTTCTCACTGCCTTTCGGGGAACTCTTCTTGTTGGTCAGCGCCCTGCTGAAAGTTCTCTGGGCGATGCCCTTGAGTGCGATCTTGGGGCTGTTGGAGGGGGGCCCTGCCACAGACAGCGGGCGCCCAGCGGCCTCCATCTCTTCACTCTCCTCGAAGCTGGGCAGAATCTCCAGCCGCTCACAGCTTGTGTCCCGTGAGCCTGGACCCTCGCCTGCCTTGGAGGTCCCCTTGCTGTTGAAAAGTTTTAGTTTTTCCAGCATGGATCTCTGATTGTTGGGGGCTGGCTTCAGGGCTTCAGGGGTGGGCCGGGGGGCCTCCGGCGTTGGGGGCTTGACCGAGAGCGTGGTGGCTGTGGCACTGTGTTTCACGCTGACTGACTTGCTGCGCCAGGGCTTGGAGGCCGCGCTGGGCTGGGGGATGGCCGAAGAGGCGCCGCCGCTCTCCAAAGCAGCAGGTGCATCTTCGCTCATTCCGGGGTGGGAGGAGGCTGGGCCGGCCAATGGCTCTGCAGAGATGGGGAAAAGAAGGAAGCCTGAATCAAACCGGTGGACCTGCACTGATCACGAGGGGTCGTCGGCCACAGTGACATAGCTGACGGCTCCAGCCCAGGTGCCAGTCTGCTTTGTGCATTACCCGTGGCTCAATTTAAACCCCACCTTGACTTCCTTCTGCTCTCCATCACCGTCTGTTCACATGCCCCCCTGTCCCATTTGGCAGTATGCTGTGTGAAAGCACACTGATCTTAACACCAATGTGCACGAGACACAAGGAAACACACATTTATGGGAAAACACACAGCAACCCGCCGCACCACTGTGATGGTGTACGAATGATGTAGGAAGTATCTCAACCCATAACCCTGTTTCCCAGTTAAGCCAAACACTTGAGAATTATCCAACTTTAAGAGTAAACAATGTAGCCAAGATTTTAAAACAGAACAAATCAAAAAACAAAACAAAACAAAACAAAAAACAGAAAAAGAGAAACCAACCCAGTATCATCTTCACAGAAGAATTACCCATGCAAGTTGCTAAATCTCATCAAAGCGTAACAGTTCTTCCTACGTTGGCACTTTGAAACAGTTATGAGCATGATGCAAGCAGGAGTTAAAATAAAAAAGGCATTTGAGCGTAAGAGTTTGAATTGTGCACGAGGTTTCACTGCAGGCAGGAAAACATGCAGGTTATCTGAGAGTCAAGGCTTCCCCCTTGGCGCTCAGGGAGTATTTCCCCAGCCAGACTCTTCTCAGAACAGCCTCAAAATATTCCCAAACTAGAACTGGAATTATTCTGAGAAGGGTGGGTTCCAAAGGCATTCTGCTAGGCACTGAGGTGGCCTGGATCACAGACGTGAAGACTGAGGCACCCCTCCTGGGGCAGCACTCAGAGCCACGCAGATCCATCCCCCACGTCGCAGCAGCTGTCAGAGAGGAGATGGCAGGGAGACCACGGAGCTCAGCACCGGCGCCCACCCACAGCCACGCCCGCCTGGCCCAGAGAGGATGCGGCACCTGGGCCCTAAAAGACACAGACGGCTGTGTCTGCAAAGCCACGAGGACGCGACTTACCCAGCTGCAGCCACTTTCCCCCGCGACGATTCCCTAGGAAAACTCCAACCGGAGAGGCTGGCCTTCCAATTGTCACAAGTGTTTTCGGTTAAACGGCTCATGTTTCTAATTAACTTTTGTCATCCGCATCTGCTCCAGTGCCCAGAAGCCTGGCGGGATTAACGGCTGCTGCTTCTGCTCTTTTTTGTTTTTTTTTTTTTTTTCTTTTTAAATACCTACGTTCCACCGCCTTCTAGCAACAGAGTAAACTGTATATAGAGCGGCTTTTTATGATTTAAAAGTCAACGGCCGCCAGCGCCGAATGAAGGCAGCCCCTTGTGGGACAGGAGCGCCGAGCGCGGGGAGAGCTCCCGGCAGAGCAGCTGCTTCCCTCCGCTTGCGGCTGCTCCGGGAAGCCGAGCGCCAGGGTGATCCAACGCAGGCCTCCCAATGTTTTACAACACATACATCTTCCTGACTTACTGGGGATTTGGGTTTGGAGCGGGGGCTGCTGCACGATCCTCTCTAACCAAACTCGTGGGGCGTTGCTGGATCCTTTCCTGGGGAGAGCTGGGGACTAGCTGGGAAGCAGGCCCACAGAACCCACACACACTGCCCGCCTTTCAGGGGGTCTCCCCGGCCGGACGCTGCTTGGGGAGGGCCTCCTGGGTCTCACAAGGGGCAGTGCTAGGCACGTTGTGAAGAGGGGGTTACTGCCCCCGTTTGACCGGTGGGGAGGCTAAGGCTCAGGGAGGCCTAATGACTGACCCTCCCTCACAGAGCGGGAAATGGACATGGGTGGGATTTGAACCCAGGTCTCCTGATACAGTGCTCCCTGCGACTGCACTGCAGCTACCGCCTGTGATAAGGGACACATTTAAACAGCAGCCGCTTCAATGGCTAGACTGCTTCTTCGGGCAGTGCTTTTTCTACTGCTTAGGTGTACTCACGACGCCCACGATGGGGCACACACCAGCCTCGCCATGGAAAGGGGGCAGCCTATGCCAGAGACCAGCCCCCCCGGAGGAGGTACTAGGGACCCTCCAATCCCCAGCTCCACTTCTCAGGACAACTGTCTCTTCCTTTACCAGGGCTCAGACCCAGGGCACAAGTATTCATTTATCCACTCATTTAATATATTCACTCATATCAAAATTCAGCGAGTGCCAAGAATATGCCACACGTTGTTCTAGGCACTTGGGATACATCAGTGACAAAACAAAGATCCCCACCTTCATGGAGATTACATTTTAGCAGTGAGGAACAGATGATAGTTAATGTAATTAATACATTTTCTCTTGTGTTTTTCACATACTTTTCTTTTTTTTAAATGGAGGTACTGGGGATTGAACCTGGGACCTCATGAATGCAAGCATGTGCTCTACCACTGAGCCACACTCAGCCCCTGATACATTTTCTAAAGGAAAGGGGCTCTAGGAACAGGTTGCAACAGTGTCCTTATAGGAGCTACAACAAACCACATCCAGAGTTACCTCGCTCTTGTCCTAAGTTTCAGGCCTACTCCCCTCTGAGCAGAGGTACACGGATTCGTGTGACTTCTCTGCTCCCACACGTTCATTGGAATTCTTACAAAGCCCCTACCTAGCATTTCTTTGTATTTTTAACCCTAACACACACACACACACACCTAGAAATTAACCAACAATTAATGAGATAAGGACAGCCCAGAGTTAAACAGATGCCTGGCTGGTCTGAGAAATGCTGAGACTGACGGAAGGTGTGTGTCTCCTCCAGGAAAGGCGCCAGGTGCAGGGAAGAGGCTCCCACAATGTAGGCATGATGGTCAGAGTTATTTCTCATGCCAAACCAAAACGGCTCCCAGAAACCTCTACCTAGCTCTTAAACACCAGCTCAAATGCCTTCTTCCATTGTTAAGCTACTTGGGACCCTTGAGCTGAATGAACTGGCTGGTTTGCATCATATAACCTGGTATTTTCCCCTCCTCTGTTTCCCCAGGACACCGTCCATACCTCCCTGTAAAAGCATTTGGAAGGCCACATACTCACATCAGGCACTGGGAATAGAGGTGAGTAAGATACAGCTCCTGCCCTCCAAGAACTCACTATCCACAGGGGCAGCTGACCCAAACACAGAGCACGGAAACAACGTAAAGACTGTACATGGGATGGGGAAGGATAAAGTTCAGTGGTAGAGCACTGGTTCAATCCCCAGTACCTCCATTAAACAAACAAACAAACAAACAGACTGTATATGGTCGCAGGAGATCCAAGGGTTAGGATCTCAATTCTCCTCAGAGAATCTGGGAAAGCTTCACAGAGGAAGTGTGATGGATTGATTTGTTATTCCACTGGTCTGTGAATTCCTCCAGGGCAGAGGCTCCCCGACCCCGACCCCGTCCCTGACTCATCCTCGTGTCCCAAAGCCTGCCTGAGTACAGAAAATAGTAAATGGTTTCTGAATTGTTGGTAGGTAATCTGGGCATTTGCAAGTCACAGTCACATTTAAGGCAAAAGAGACCCAAGGTTTGTGATCGGTCATTAGGGTTTTGTTAAGACGTTTCAGCTCAAACTCAGGATCACGACTCAGAGCTTCAGAATTTCCACCTGCCATTTAGCCTGGGCTCCTCCTGAATGGGGACATTTCAAGGCTACTCATTATAGCTATAAGAAATAGTCCCTGGAGCTGATTCTGAATTTGGTTTCTAGAACAGAAGTTCCTGAGAAGGACACCAGGGCACCTGAGGATCAGATCATCAATACTTGGTGCTTATGTCATGGCCAGAAATCCCCTTTAAAGCGAAGGGACTCCAGGTCATGAGTTGGTCTTGTCCACTTGACACCTTTCTCTCATTCCTAGGCTATCACACCAGGGGTCTCCGATCTCAGCTGACTTGTCTGTTTGGGGTCTGCTCTGCTTTTTTTGGACAGCAGTCATTTCTAACACCAGGCTTCTGTGATTCCTAGCATGAGACTTTCCTCACCAGCCCTCCAAGATGGTGAAACAGATGCAGGAGAGACGTGGGGAAGCAGGCCCGGCCTCACGTTTTCTCACCGGCTGATGGTGTGGCCCTGGGTGTACCACTTAGCCTCTCTGGGCTTCCGTCGCCCCATTGGTAAGAAAGAGGATGGACTCTTTCTCTCGAGTCCTTTTCAGCTCTGTTTCCATTCAAGTCTCAGTGAGTCTCCGAGAAGCCGGGCCCCAAGAACACAACTAAGTTCACTGGCTCACTCAGTTCTACTGTCAAGCTGTGCTGTGACATACTGGTGTTTCTCTGTCTTCCATCATTCCCCCTCCAGGGTTCTCTTAAGATGCTTACCAATACATGGAGAAAACCAGCTGGGTCGAGGTAGAGTCAACCTTGAATGAGTTGCTAGTAAACTAAAAAATGCTAGTATTCCATGAAAACCAGTGTAGGGGAGGAGGGTGGGGCGAGTTCTTTAAAATTAAGAGCACTGCTCTCTCTAGTAACTAACAGCTCTGGCTTCTTGCCTTATGTATATGAACCTTTGTTAGAGAAAAGGCATCTGAGAGAGAAGAAGGAGGAAAGCACACAAGAAACGTTCTGGACATCAGTATTCTCTCAGCAAAGGTATAGACTGCTGAAGTAGCATTTCTGATGTCATGTGGATGAATTTTTTATATTTTAAAAGTTACATATTTATTTTACTGCATATTAGAAATGATAAATAGCCCATATATAAATCAACAGTTTCATGGGTGGTAAATGTAGATTTAATCTGAGCTGATTTAGGGAAAATACAAAACAAAAACACAAGTGGTTCACCGATTTGGTAAAAATCACACAGACAGTTTGTGACAGACTGAGGTTGAGGAAACGCTGTTCCATTAAATCAAGAAATATTTTATATATAAAATATAGAATAAGTATTTTCAAAATACTTGTTTTATATTAAACCTATTCTTTTGAAAAATGCAATCAACCAAAAAGAAATCAAATCTGAAGGCCCAAATAAGGA